CTCAAGACAATCATATCTGACCGATCAACAGCGACAGCGTCACACGCACGCGGCCCTTCGCCGCCTCGCCCTCTTCCTCTTGCCTTCCTACGAGGCGAACCTTTGCCGTTGCCCACGACATCGATCAGCTCGACGCTGCCATCCGACCCTCCCTACCCAAGTCGATCAAGCCCGACACCTACCGCAAGCTGCACGACAAGCTGATCCAGGTCCGCCATGCTCTCGGCAACCGCCCCCTCACCCTGGCCGAGAAGATTCTCTACAGCCATCTCGATAATGTAGACCAGTCTCTGCTCACCAACACGAGCAATGGCCGTGACATTCGTGGCAGTGCCAACCTCAAGCTGAACCCGGACCGCGTTAACATGCAGGATGCCTCTGCCCAGATGGCTCTGCTGCAGTTCATGTCCTGCAACCTGACCCAGGCTGCCATCCCTGCCAGCATCCACTGCGATCACTTGATTGTCGGCGAGAAGGGCGCCGACCTGGATCTGACGGAAGGTATCAACATGAACAAGGAGGTCTTTGACTTCCTCGAGTCGGCTGCGAGGAAGTACGGCATGGACTTCTGGCCTCCCGGAGCCGGCATAATTCATCAGACGGTGCTCGAGGTCTATGCCCTCCCTGGCCTGATGATGCTCGGCACGGACAGCCACAGCCCCAACGCTGGCGGTCTCTCCACCATCACCATTGGTGTCGGTGGCGCTGACGCCGTCGAGGCTCTCGTTGGCGCCCCTTGGGAGCTCAAGGCCCCCCGCATTCTCGGCGTCAAGCTCACCGGCCAGCTCAGCGGATGGGCTTCCCCCAAGGACATCATTCTCGCCCTCGCCGGTAAGCTGACTGTCCGTGGCGGCACCGGCTACATTCTGGAATACTTTGGTGAGGGCGTTGAGACCCTGAGCGCCACGGGCATGGCAACCTGCTGCAACATGGGAGCCGAGGTCGGCGCCACAACGTCCATCTTCCCCTACACCAAGGCTTCCGAGCGCTACCTGCTGCAAACCAGGAGAGAGGCCCAACACCGCGCCATTGAGTCCTTCCGCACCTGGGGCGACTTTGACTTCCGCGCCGACCAGGGTGCGCAGTACGACGAAGTCATCGAGATCAACCTCTCTGAGCTCGAGCCTCACATCAACGGGCCTTTCACGCCCGATCTGTCGACACCCCTCTCTTCCTTCGGAGAGACTGTCGCTCAGGAGGACTGGCCGACAACGCTCTCTGCTGGTCTCATTGGCAGCTGCACGAACAGCTCGTACGAGGACATGACGAGGGTCGAGAGCCTCGTCACGCAGGCCGAGAAGGCGGGCCTGAGGCCCAAGGCACCCTTCTACATCACGCCTGGTAGCGAACAGATCCGTGCTACCCTTGAGCGTGACGGCACTCTGCAGACGCTCGAGGGTGCTGGCGGCATCGTTCTGTCGAACGCTTGCGGCCCCTGTATCGGCCAGTGGAAGAGGCAGGACGATATTGCGAAGGGCACCCCGAACGCCATCCTTACCTCGTACAACCGTAACTTCCGTGGCCGCAATGATGGCAACCCCGGTACCATGAACTTCCTCGCTTCGCCCGAGATTGTCACCGCCATGGCCTATGCCGGCTCGACGACCTTCAACCCCATCACCGACGAGCTCAAGACCCCTGATGGCAAGTCTTTCCGCTTCGAGCCCCCGCAGGGTCTCGAGGGGCCCAGGACGCCATTCGACTCGGGTGTCAAGGGCCTGCAGTCGCTCTCCCCTGACGGTCCGAGCCCTGCTGTGGATATCGCCATCTCGCCCTCCTCCGAGCGCCTCGCCTTCCTTGAGCCCTTTGAGGCCTTCCCCGAGGGCGACCTCGAGGACCTCAAGGTCCTTGTCAAGGTCACGGGCAAGTGCACGACCGATACCATCTCCGCCGCCGGTCCCTGGCTCAAGTACAAGGGCCACCTGCCCAACATCAGCGCCAACACACTCAACACGGCCGTCAACGCCGCCACGGGCGAGGTCAACGTCGCCTACGACCTCGACGGCTCCCGCCACACCATCCCTGACCTTGCCTTCCGCTGGAAGGCTGCTGGTCAGCCGTGGCTCGTCGTCGCCGAGCACAACTACGGCGAGGGCAGCGCGCGTGAGCACGCCGCCCTGCAGCCCCGCTTCCTCGGCGCGCGTGTCGTGCTGACCAAGTCCTTTGCTCGCATCCACGAGACGAACCTGAAGAAGCAGGGCGTCGTGCCCCTGACCTTTGCCAACGAGGCCGACTACGACCTCATCGACGCCGGCGACGAGGTCAGCACCGTCGGCCTCTACGAGATGCTGCAGAACGGAGGCAAGGGCGACGTCCAGCTTCGCGTCAAGAAGGCGGCCGGCGGCGAGGAGGTGCTCATCAAGACCAAGCACGCCGTCAGCGAGGACCAGGCCGGCTTCATCCTGGCCGGCAGCGCGTTGAGCATGTTATCCAAGAGGGCGCATGCGTAAGCTCGACATCCCCTTTTTGTCTCTATACTTGTCTTGTCACGTAGACGCTTGGGGGGTTCACTTTTCTTTTTTTTTTTCGAACACAAAAGAACAATGTTCGTACAAGGAGCGTGTAAATAGTTTCTTGATGTTTTTCGTTTCTTGCTTAGAGAGGCGCCTTTTCTGGTTTGGCACGGGGTCCCTAAAAAATGAAATGCAAAGTTGAATTACGTTCCTGCTCGACGCTATACCGTCTGTCCTCCACATATGCCCCATGCTCCTCAAAATATAAAGATGAACTTGCAAAACTGTCCCGATCACTATGCTCTCTTTCGGTAGCGTAGTTGCGCTTGCTTTGGTATGCTCGTTCCCGTTCATGTATTGCTTGGACGCCAAACACCCGAATTTCTCTGATATTCATCAGTCGTCGGCGGCCCCCGGTCGAGGCTGTCGTTATGTCTCGTTTATGATTATTCATGCTCGCCCATTTGGCGAAGCCGCCCGTCCGTTGGTCACGGCACCCGGCGCGACAGGCTCCCTTCCCTGGCCCAGCAAGTTCTGGATCGTTTCGCCCGCCGCTTTCCGCCGCATCTTCTGCTGCGCCATGTGCACGACCTGGGCGCGGTTCGAGCGCATCCACTCGCACGCGCGCAGCCAGGACGGGTTGGCCTTGACATAGTCCGGCAGCTCACTCTCCGCAACGTCCCCAAAATCCACAGGGCGGCTGTGCGTCCACGGCGCGGGCGGGTGCCGCCGCAGCGGCTGGCCGAGAGCAAGCGCCGCCTTGTCGGCCCGCATCCGGGCTTCGGCCTGGCGTCTGAGGTCCCGCCGCCGCTGCGCTGCGCGTCCAAACTGGGCTTTCCGGCCGCCTCGCGCCCTGATCTCCGCCATCTTGGCGTCGTACCACTCTTCCGTCCAGCGCAGCGGCCAGTGGATCCGTGGGTCGAGAGCGAGGTGCAGACGGTCGCTCTCTTCTGGGAGGCGGTCCGCTGCAGGTTGCTGCGGCGCGGAAGAGGTGCGCGTCGCGGGATAGCACATAGACTAATGGGGGAATATAGAAAAATAATGAGTGTTCTTTTTGGGGGGGGGGGGAGAGAAAAGAAATGAT